ATTTAGACTAAAGGAAAGGGATGAATTATCTTCATTTTAGTGTTATGTTAGTTTATTTATGTAAAAGAACATTAACACTATCAGATAGTGTATCATTACAGGGCACATGATGATCATGATACAATTAATAATCAATCACAACCAGTGGTCAAATGCACAGAATTTGTCAAAATCAACTAAAAACAGCAAGTGACTGCCACATTATAGAAATCCCAGTTGTTCATTTAATGTTTTTCTGACCTGGTTTTATTTTTTTTAAATACTAAATACTTTGTGTTGGATACTGATTTGTATTGAAAGAGTGTTTAATATAGAAATTCATGGTTGTGGGCAATTCATTTCTTCAAATATTGAATTGTCAATGAACATGATAAATATGATCAGAATAACTTGTGTTACCAAAACAATGTATTATTCTAAAATTTTACATATATTTCATTTTTAATGATAGTGGAAATATAAACAGCTTTAATGTACTGAATTGACGGGAAATATGAGTAGGTTTACAAATATTTAGGCTCAAGTTGTCCTTGTTTGAGTTTCGAATTGAGGGTTTTAACTTCTTATTTCATTGTGTCACCAGACTCATATTACTTCTATTTAATTCTGTTAAAAGTTGCATTATATAAGAGCTAAATGGATGGTCGCGATTTTCAATGGATTGAAACGCAATCACCACTTAATTATTTAATTTGATAATGATAGTAGGTAAACAAGACTGTTTATTATTGTAGCAATGGTACTTGACAATCAAGACTACCAACGCTAAATCTAGTCAAAACTTCAAACACTCAGAATAACGTAATTTTGACTGAAATTTTCAATATATTCAATTATCATTATCTATTTTTATACGCCCACATTTTCATGCGGATTATCATCACCTCAGTTCGTCTGGATGTCTACATGTTGTTTGTGTACACTCTACAGTTCACAATTTTTTAACTGATTTTTACAAAACTACTGCCTGAGTTATGGTACTTGGTTGCTTTGAAAAATCTTATGGATGCACTTGCGGCTGAATTTATCACCGGATTGACTTTTAATTTATGCATACATGTAGTGTTTAGGATTATTGATTTTCAACGATTTCTAATAATGTGGGCATATGTTGCATGCCAACCGCTTGTTAAACTTTTATGACAGCCAGCTCTTTATCTAAATCTTACATAATGCCTCTTTAATTAAAGCAAAAACATTTTATTTGTGCATGGTGATGCTTAAATCCAACATACAAGGGGTGATGCAAATGTTTACGGCCTGCCTAAGTAATGTGCAATCTATATGAAAATTCTTATATTTATTTTTCAACATGATTAATGCACTTCTTCCACTATTTCTCTAGCATATTTAGCCACTGATTGTCATGTAACCCTAAAACTCCTCCACAGCATTGATAACCTTATCATCCATCCCAAATATACAGCCCCTGAGAACAGATTTGAATTGTGGGAAGAGTACGTAGTCAAAGAATAGGCTGATTGAGGGAGGATCTTTCAAGAGCCACAGTCCTGTGCCACAGCCACAGACAATGTCCTGGAGCAGCCAGACACCTCATCGAAATTTACTTTGACGCAACGTGTGCAGTTCATGATCGTAATATGCACCATTTATGTTGGAACCCAAGAAAATGGGGGCCATGACCTTGCAACTGGAAGACGTTCTTTTGAATTCTTGGGGCATTGGTAAAGTCGCACCATTCCACTGAAAACTTTTAGTTTTTGCATAAACCCAGGTTTATACTTGGTAACAATATGACCCAAGAGAGCATGTTGATCTCTCATTAGTCCTTGAGAAGCTGTTACTAACAATGGCGTTTTGTTCTTCAGACACTTTATTCATGTGTAAATGTTCATGGATTATTCAATTGACGTATGTTTTGATTATGTCCTGTGTAGTTGATAAGTTACTCACCTGTCCTGCATTTTTGTGTCCAGAGCATCAACTTCACTAGGGGGACCAGACTGTTAATCGTCTTCAGTGCTGATCCTGTTGCTTGTAAATTTAGCACATCACTGTTTGACTTTACTAATCGAAGGAGCATTGTCTCCAGATGTTTGTGTCATGTCATCATGAATTTGTTTTGGCATAAACTTTTTCAAATGAAGATACTTAATCGTGGCTATGCATTCGGTTTTCTCCATTTTGAGAGGGTCATGCTGTTTGACAGCTATATATATGAAATTATAGCTCGTTGAATTTATGGTTTGTATGCCAAGCACATGCTGAGATACTTTTTCTAGCACATGAGCAGATAATTTGAGTTTGGGCGATCCGTCCATGGCGAAGCCGAAATATATTGAGACACCCTTGGTTAATGCTGTATATCTGTAATGGTTAATATTTTCCTTGTAAGGGAATAAGAGTCTGTTATTTTATTTGAATTAGATAATGATTACTTTTATATAGCAGGTTGCCAAGTCCTATTATTATAGATCAAAAGAATTTCCTTTTAAGCTATTATTGAAATGGATTGCATGTTCAGTTTATGTCTAAATGATATTGTTTATTTGGCATTTATTAAACTTCAACAATCTTCTTGAGCCTTTAAACAAAGGAAAGCTTTTGCATCTCCATCAATAAGAGTGTGATTTCGTTGAAGCATCTTGTTTTAAATGCTCTTACAATTCATTCTTGACTGAGGACACAGAGTATTGAATATCCATATTATCATATTTTATTCTAAAGTGATGTCTTTCTAGAGTAGAGTCTGTAAACTGAATAAAATTTTATGTGTTATCATATCTTACTCTAGACTGTAGGCTTAATGATTAAATATTATCCTTTTTCACTCTAGACTGGGGAGGTCTAATGATTTAGGCTTAATGATTAAATAAATTCCTTTCTCACTCTAGACTGAGTAGGCTTAATGATTAAATAATATCATTTCTCACTCTAGACTGAGTAGGCTTAATGATTAATTAATACCATTTCTCATTCTAGACTGTGCAGGCATAATGTTTTAAGTATTATAATTTCTCACTCTAGACAGAGTTGACTAAATGATTTAATATCATCATGTCTTCATTCTAGTGGGCTGAATAAAAAAAATAGTATTAGATTTCAGTCTAGTCTTAAATATTGTACCTCATTTTAGACTGCGGGTTATGTGATTAAATAGCACGTGTGCTTCTAGATGGAGCAGACTGAATATATCTGAAATATTAATGCATCTCATCTCTCCCACATCAAAATCATAATGTTAATAGTGGCAATAAATTATTTCACCATTACATAATGCACTTTAATAATATAGATGTTTGTGCCCTGATATACATGTACAAGTTGTTTTTATGAATCATTCATATAAAATATAATGTGATGTATATTATCTGCTTATGTTAAAGTTCCTTCCCCAAGATAGGGGACTAAAATATTATCAAATATTCTTTAAAATTTAAGAAGGCTGATGAGTGTTAAGTTGTCTCTGTAAGGTCTAATAAATTGTGTTACGAAATAGTGGTGTTTATTTCTATTTAGAAAGGGTATCAGACTAATGCCTTTACCCTGGCGCTGAAAATTTTGCTTTAGATATTTTGGAGACTTTATGGTGATTCTTAAATCCTATTTCTTGTATTTCACATTAAAAGTGTACTTCAAGTATTCATTGTTTTGTTTTCAGTGTTTCCATCCTCAAGTTTGTTTGGCAAGTCTAGATTAACTATCGAAGAAAAACAAGATATTATAAATGCTCTTCAGTCACCTGAAAGACCATCACAAGCAGCATTAGCAGCTAAATATGGTGTTACAAGACAGGCCGTCAATAAAATGATCAAAAAATATTTACCCAATTTACCAACTGCTAATAAGAACAAGTATTCATAATTTGTAGTAGAAATAAATTGGAAAAGAGTTGACTTCTAAGATACCAGTTTTAAAATGTTGGCTTGAAAATTATCATTTTAACTGGAAGTTCCATCCAGTCTTAGCGCATCGTTAAACAAAACGTATTTCAGTCTTGGCGAAAATATATTTTTGGTGTTTTATTGTGAAAGGATATATATAAAAAAAATTGCAGTGGAACGTGTGCCGAGGAGTTTTGAATTGGAATTTGTGGCAAAAGGGGTAATGAACACCGGAAAGAACATTTTGCTACATTGTAATCGTTCCACGATATTGTTTTGTTTGTAAGAAGCCCTGTGATTGTTCTCAACATTTGTTAACTTTTATGATCCGTTATTCATTTATTATCTGTAAACCGAGTTGGGGTGTCACCCAGTGTCAGATCTAATGGCAATTTTCTACATATTTTCAACAGATATACCCGGGAACGGTTAAAAGAAACTTTATGTGTAAAATGTGTGGAATATTGCCAAACAGAACATTTACAAACAATTGTAACATTTAAGGAAAATTATTCCACCCGGCAAAACGAACTGCCCGAAATCTGGTACTTTTACTGGCCATTGGGTGGGGTGATGCAATTCCCGACAATCGGAATTAGTGTTTCTAAAAATCACATAGTTCTGATTTTGATTCAGAGTGTCTAGTTCACAAACTCAAACTAGAAAATTCAATCTTTTAGGCGCTACTTGCCGCTATTGTTTTTAGATTTTACTACGGTTATTTTGTGTTAAAGTTATGTAGGTTCATATTTCGGGCACTGGCGCCTTATTTTTCGGCAAAAATGATTACAGCCCCCAAAGAAAATCGCCCAGTACGCCTATGGCAGTGGTTAATTAAACTCTCTGAGCTGAATCCTCAACTCCTGAAGATAAAGATACCTGTTAAAGTATTGAAATGTTGCATGTATTAAACTAAGTAGTAAAACCATAAAGTTGTGTTATTATGAATCATCTACAAAACAATGTATGGACAGTGGTTGTGAATCTTCACTTTGAAATAGATTTTTACGAAGCTTTTTACTCTGGGGCCCCTTCCATTGTCGGAAAGGGGGGAAAAGGTGTACTGGTGACTTTGCTGACATTATTAACCAATGTGTTACAAATTTATGAAATTGACCGTTTTAAGTAAATGCTCCATCTTGTTTTGATTTTCAGATATACTGAATGTGAGGCGTCGAACTGAATTATCGCTGTCGGATAAAATACGTTTACTACAAGCATCTGAGGCTAACCCTAAACCATCCCAAACAGATTTGGCGGAACAGTTCGGTATAAGCCAACCTACTGCTTCCAATATTATTAGAAAAAGAGAATATTACATAGACCTGTACCAAAGAAAAAAACAAGAATCCAAGTCCAAAGAATTTCTGTAGTTGATTTTGTATCTTAGTGGTTGCCCAAGAAATTTATGTGGAAGAATTTCAATTCTGTTGTGTGTGTGTCAAAAAGTGTTGCGTATGTTCTTATGTGTACGTTCATTGCAAGAATTCTCTCTTTCCTAAATGAATTGCATTAATGATTAACAACCGAATATGTTGACTAAGAAAAGATTGTGAATCGTGTTATTAAACATCAAAAATCATTATAACATGGAATTTATCTTGAATTTGACACTTACTTTTTACGAATTGAAAATGTCTTCTATGACTATTTGGAGGCAGGGGTGAGATTTTGAGAATTTGCACATCGATTCCGCCCGTTAAACAGCTTCAATTATGATATGTTCATTATTTACATACAGTATCACGTACCGAAATATTTAGAAATATCGATACGTGCTAGCTCGATTGATTTGTACACAATTTTGAGAAAGTAAATCCTTGAGATGCGTTTTGGAAGGTGAAATAGACTTTTGGCAATACAGCAAAAAGACGACGATGTTATACGGACCGTTTTCAGCATGAAAGCTGTTCGATACGCGCTGTCGTATCCGTGTGCCGTATCACGTATGAAAAATACACACGCATTGATGACGTCATACACAAAATCGATACGGATACGCGATACGGACCAGGAATTTACGCTTGCCAAAAGTCTCTATTGATTCAGCTTTCGAACCGTGTATAACTGTATAATGTAAAGTGCAAGAGAGTAGATGGGGTTGTTTTTCAACGCAAATAATGTTAACAACTGGCACTGACAAATATAAAATGTATACGAATATGTCTAGTAGTAGGCTTTTTGACATTGTGATTAATCAAACAGTAGAAATAGAAAGAGTAATTTCACCACTGCTTATACAAGCTCTTAAATTGATTGTTCTTGTTTTATCATACCCAAGTAATATGTTTATTTAATATCATGCTTAATAACCATAAATAAAATGATCAAATCCATCAGTTAACCACTAAAAAGAAGACCATTAACTTTAGCGTTTTTAAAAATAGATTTATATTATATACTAACTAAAGAGCAAAAAAACAAAAAACCCCAAAAACGGCAGTGCGATTTCAAAATCAGACAGGCACTTTAATCAAATCATTCTAGAAAACGACTTACTAAATGGATCAAAGCAATTTTTTGTGAACAGTATGTTGACACATAGTGATTAATTCATTAATTCATCCCGTGTACAAATTGGCCTCCACGTAAAAGATCCCTTGACAGTTGGAATTCCCTCATAGCAGACTGTTTGGCGTATGCCCGTCTTCATTAGCCCAGTTCGGAGCAGAACAGTAGGACGTTAAACCCCATTTCATTTCATTTCGTGTCCACCGCGAGTGTCAATAACAGCAGCGCAGCGTCTGTACATGGAGTGGACCAGACGATTGATGAACGCCATTGGCACCTGGAACCACACTCAAAAAAGCCTGGCGCAATCCATCGGCTGTGTTTGGTCTCGGTACAACGTTATTAAGTCTCCTCTCAATTTCATCCCAAGGATGTTCAATCGGGTTTAAGTCCGGACTAAGGTCTGGCCAGTGCATAACGTTGACATCGTTCTGCTGTAGAAAGTCCCAAGTAACTCTGGCGGTGTGGGCACGGGCGTTGTCATACTGGAAAACGTTGAACTCGATGACGTGCGAAATGTACTATGACATGGGGTCTGGCAGCTTGATCCATGTAGCGCACTGCTGTGATGGCGCCTCCTCTCCCTGGACCAATATTTTGGAACACCACAGGACCCACTGTCTGGTTCAGGCCGATTCCACCCCAAAATCGACTCTCATCTGTGAACAGAACAGTTCCCCCATTGCCTGTGTCGCCAGTTCTGGTGTTGTAGGGGAAACTGTAGACGTTCACGTCGATGGCGAGGGGTGAGGATCGGTCCACGGTAAGGTCCACGGCAATGGATGTTCTCTCTGGTGAGACGTCGGCCCACTGTATCGGTACTGATGAGTCTTCCGTGTGTTCCCACTGTCTGACGTGCTGTCTCAGATTCCTGTGTGAAGGGATTCTGCACGTGCTATCGCACAACATGGCGGTCTTGTCGCCTTGTGGTAGCCCTTGGTCTACCAGTTCGGGGGCGATCATCCATGGTGTTGGTGGAACGAAAGCGTTGCCGAAGCCTGTAGATGGGCAGTGTGGCCAGCGTCGAGTCTTCCAAGCTCCTGGTTCCTCTGAGCTGTCGTGAGACGTGGCATGCTGCTGACGTTGCAGTGTATGGGTGGATTTTATAGGGCTGGTCCCGATGAACAAACAGCACGTGCAGCATGAGTTACATGAAAATCATGGAGAACACATTACCATCTCAGAAGTCAGTTTGCGTTTTTGAGAACATTTCCTGGGTTTTATTCTGTGTTTGGGAAGGAGCCTTACTGCTCAGGTAAAGGTGGAGATGTGGTCACAAATATACAATAAAACATTTGGCAAGTTTTATGCAATGCGTCTATTCAGAGTAACATACCAACCTGACGTTTCTTTTGCTGCTTAGTATAGTATAGGTTCTATCCATAGCGTTAAGACCATTTTGTTCACGATGTGCGGAATGTCTGGGACACCCTATGCTGCATGTTTATGGGGGATCATTCGGGCGATTCCTTGGCATAATGGATCGTGGCATTAGGTTTCATCACATAAACATTGTGTTTTAAATTCATGTCAATCAGGAAATAACTTTAACCACTGGATGATACAAGATATTTAAAAATGATCAAGGGTAATAACTCGAAAGTAATTTCAGACTTCCCCATTTCATGAAGACAAACATGGTGTGTAAAAAAATAAAGGCATTCGAAAAAATAATTTTATAATCTTGAGATTCTAAGACTGTTTAAAACTATTAAGGGCAAATTAATATACTTCGCCATCCCCTGGCGTACTGTGCATAAATTCAAAGTCAATGGTAAGATAACTTTAGACTATCAGAATAATTAAAGGTAATAATTCTGGCAGTAATTATCGGAAATATTTGAAAATCAATATACTTCTTCGTTCCATGACCAAAAACACGGTGTATAAATCTCAAGAATGATCGGATAATTACTTTAGCCTCCAGAGCGCCCACGGGATTTTTCAAAGTGACCAAAGGCTAACCAAGGGCTATAACTCTGTTGTAAATAGTCAAAAATCAATAGCATTCTTCGTCGTATGGTCATAAACACCGTGTCTCTAGAGTGGACGCAAGATTTTTCAAACTGATCAAAGGGCCGTAAATAAGTATTAGAAAAATAAATAAATGTGTTTGAAGCATATCTGGATAAACAATATTTCCTATTTAGTGTAAATGGGTTTACGTTATGCAAACATTGCCAGCGCTATCGAGCCAATGATCGGCGCCATGTGATGTGACGTCACGCGTAGAATGCATATGAACTTTATAAAGGTCAGTCATCTTACATAAAGTTATAAGAAGGCTTTCGCAATACCTCTGTGAAACAGACTGATTCCTTATTAACGCCATTTTCTATGTTGTCTTTATCTTAACAGCAAAATGTGTGTAGTATCATAATTATCTTTTTGTGAGGAAAACGTCTATAATGTATATGACTGTGGCATAATGTATAGTTATTTCTGAGTGTAAAAATCCCATCAAATGACGAGAGTAAATAATATCTCTTTCAGAGTCAGATAGAAAACTAATTGAGCATCTTAACGTCGACATTTTTTTGTGCTTACAGATAAAACAGATGATACCAATAATTCCAACAACATTGTTGTTTATTACGGCGAAGAAAGTTTCAATTTTGAAACTTTACGGAGAAGAAATAAAAAATATACAATGGAAGAAAAGATGCAAGCTCTAAGATCAGCTAAAGAAAGGGGGGTAGTAGTCACTTGTAAAGAGCTACAGATACCTCATAGTACACTTTGCACATGGAAAGCAACATTTAGGAAGATATATGAAGACTTATCGTAGCAATAATTGCCGTCTTTCAAATTTTAATGTTGACTGGGGATATGATTTTAAAAGAAAATCAAAGAAAATTATCAAAGTGTTTTGTAGGGACCTAAATCATTTCTTGTTTATGTACCTGTGCACCAGTGATATTTTACCAAAACAAATGATTACTTTTACAAAAAAAAGAAAAGGTGTCAGTTTCCGCCTTAGTCTATAATTGTGAAATATCATTATTATATTCGTATAATCGTGTCAAAAAGTTGATTTAGTGCACTAACTAACATTCTCTTGTTTCAAACAATCGCGATATATCGATTACCAATGGCCATCCTTCTGAAGAAGAGAGACCTTGTGCATCTCGTGACTGATAGTTACTAGATTAAATAGATTAAATGAATGGTAAAATGTATATGGCTAATAAGTGACATGAATATGCCCTGTGTTTATCTATTTCATTATCCTTTTACAAGTTAATCCGAGCGCCTCCCAGCTGGAAAATTTTAAAATGTTCGAATTATCTCGATAACGCGACTGACAGTAGATACCAGTATTATTTATCCTCAGATTTCCGTAATCGAAAGTTAGTTATGGTCAAGTTTTCTCTTTCTCTGTTGACATTAATTCACAATTTACAGTCTGTGATGGGCCATATTCCTTACGCAATGGCCCGAGAAATCCCTCTCTGGCCTTTGCTGGATTGGCTTCGGATTTTTGAGCTTTTGAGGAAGTGTGTCTATTCTTCCCGTTCAATCAAATCTATCCCAACTACAGTAACATGACAGCCCTTCGTTTAATCTTGGGTGTTCCCTAAAACTTTGGACAGTGATTTAAGCTATTAAAAACGGTGAAAGTATTATTAGTCTCCAAACAGTAAAATTTACATTGTATCCGCTTTGATAGTCTCGTTTGTCACGCAATTAGTTTTTCTGCAATATTCTGCTATGCACTGGTTATTGAGCGTAATACAATCGTGAATCATGACGTAACGTTATGTAAACTTGGTCCAATTTGGAGCTTTGTTTAAAGCATAATGATATTGTTACGCAGTTAGCTATTGGTTGTTAATCGGACTATTGACCTGTCATAATTTAGAACAGAAATTTGCTTCCATTACAGCAGTGTTAAGTGGGATTAGCTCTAATCAAATGAAACACTGCGAGGAGCAGGGCTCGCACTGCCGGTCGTCAAAGTCGCAATTTGCGACAAAAATAATTATGAAATTGGCGAATAAAATTTGATTTTGGCGATATACAAATATAACTGAAACTTATATCATTCTATCAGGGATTCAGATTCTGATACCTTTAAGGTATCTGAAAATAACAATAGGCCTATTGTACATGCAAATCATAAATTTATAGAAAATTGGCAATCCTTGAATGAGATCTGACGTGTAAATACTGAAAATATATTTTACAGTGCGGTGTGTAAATTGACTAAAGTCACCAAAAATAAAATCTGTACTTAAGTAAATCAAAACTGTGCTAATGTATTATGTAAAGACAGATTTTAAAAGTTGTTGTATATTGTATTGTATATATCGATAATTGTTTTATAATAAGCCCAGCTGAGACATAAAATTGTATATTGTCTTTTTTATCACAAATTTTTGGCAGATAAAATATGCCAGTTGGCGGAAAAAAATATGAACCCTTTTTTCTATAAAGAAAGTCAGCGTGAGCCCTGACAAGGAGTATGGTGATGGGCAGGTCGGGGAGAGTCTGAAACATTATGCCCTGTTTTGCTTATGACTTCCAACCCTTCAGTGCACTAATTATATACATTTCCATCCATCCCCACCCGCATTAGCCTCTGCTTTAACATACCTTGCCGATTTTGGGTCTACTTACTATATCTTTACACGACTTATTGACAATTGGTATCTGGCTGTAGATGCTTTATCTATGAACTTCAAACTTCTTATACTGGGAACACCTATTTATTTTGAAATACGCCCTTTTTCCGACCGCTGAAAGCGTTTACTTATTAACCCCAACTTCACGACAAGGCGGAGTACGTGTGAAATTTAAAGTCCATTGTTGGTACAGTTATTATTTTTTCATTTACGAAAATGTATCATTAACAAGCCTCTGTGGGATCAACTTCAAAGTTCACATACCCACAGACAAAAGTAGCTGGGGAAACCTACAGATCCAGAAGTTCGCATTTCAAAATTCAAGTTATCATAAAAACAAACTAAGTTTCTGGATCATATTTAAAACTTACATAATGTAAGAAAGCGACACTTATTAGTTTTCAATGTTTACGTTTTATCTTTTTGATTATTATTAATGCTTGCATTGAAAGCAGTTACTTAATGCAACCTTTATTCGTTGTTGGTTAGTCAAACGATCTTTCTCTGTTTCTGATATATTCAACGACTAGACTTAGAATCTGGAGAATCAAAGAGTGATTACTCTTGCAAAACCCTAAGTCTTCGGTATATTTCTGATAGTGATATGACTTGATGGTTGTCTCCATAATCCAGGCAATGATTGGCACCGTTTAGTCATAGACCTTAACGTAACGTTGTCAATTATTGCCTTGATCCTAGGGGCTAAGTTGTCTGATCTACCGATCAGACAGATTTGATTAGTGTTTTGTAATTATATTGTAATTTTGTATTCAAACCAACGTGTGTTACTATCCAGCTAAGTCTTTGGAATACTCCATTAAATCGCGAAGAGTTTCTCAGACAGGTCTCTAGATGATACATTGTAGATAATGACAATTTTATTAATATAATGTGCTAATTAATATATCATCGGGTCGTACTTCGTCTTGTTTTATTGTAAGTGATCTTAGGCAATTAAAATCAAAACTTGGGCGAAGCTATCCACATTGACCGAAAGCCTTGCACGCGACCATGTGATCTATCCGAATGTACAATGCATAATGTACATTGTACCAAGAACATTTTATTTAAGTCCCATTATAATTTGTATGATTATGATTTTGTGAATAACCCAGTTAGTCTCTTAACTTGCTGTGTATTATAAACGTCAGCTATCAGTTGCAAATTAGCGGTTATCTATTAGTCAGTGATTGGTATAAGGCAGAATTCTAACCGAATTGTGTCCGTAAAATCCACGTTGCACCACAGTAGGTAGAGACCTTAAGATAATATTGTTTAAAATAATATCAAGCTGGTTAATTGCCTGCGAGAGTCGTACATTCGTGAAAAAACATGACACGCCAAAAGAAACAAAAGCGTCACAGTGTATTCAGGGGCGTACATAACGATTTTGTTTGGGGGGGTGTTTAGCCAAAATGCGACCGACTGATGCCCATACCCCTAGTACGAGTGACGCAGTCAAGAGCCGCGCACCACAGGTGCGAGTTTTGTAGGGGCCATGTGCAGTAGCGGATCTAGATAGGGGTAGGGGGGGTCCAAATCTAGGGCGCCACCCCACCCCACAATGAATGTCAACAAAATACTGGCTATAACATTAAGCGTCCCGGTAGAACATAGATGGTATTGTATAATTATATAGTTGTTTGCAGATCGTTGTCTCGCTGGAAAGCAGTTTTACTTAAGTTGACATAAAGTTTATGTCATATATGATTGTGCCTATAACACTGAGCAACCTGAGAAAATTTTGAAAAATTGAGTCAATATCTTGGCATTTGAGGTCATTGTTGGGAGAAATTCTTGTGGACGAGAGGACCAGAAATGTGAGTCAATTAGACAAAACCTCGAGATCTGCCCCTGTCAATTCTGCCTGTTTTGCAAGAGTTGACAGAACTTTTGTATAGCCCCACGACCCACACAACAGTGCCAGTGGTACTACTAACATAACTAGGCAGTTCAGTATAACCGTGAATATGAAAGTGCTGAGACAGTATATAGGAGTGGAAGAATGATGTTATAATGGAATCGAGCGCCGCAGGCGCGAAAAAATTTCAGATGTGTAACCGAGATTTTAATTTTTGGGACTGGGCCTGACAATTTTAGTCAATGTCATGGCAAATGAATCCAAATTCTCGTTAACGAGAGGATAAGAAATAGGACAGATTCTTGAGACCTATCTGTCAATGTCGCCTGTTTTGTGAGAGTAGAACTAACAATTCTACAGTCTTTTGACCCACGACTTACTCACTAGTGGTACTACTAACTGGGCGATTCACTGTAACTGTGAATATGATAGTGATGAGATAGTATAAGACAGAGAAGGAGTTGAAGAAGGATGGCATAATGGAATTGAGCGCCGATATGTAACTGAGCTTTTATTTTTTGAGGACTGGGCCTGAGGGCACTTTACCTCAATGGGGCGCTTACTTGGTCTCTGAAATGCCCTGGACTTTGGGGAGAGATTTTGCAGAATTCTGATGTTCAGAAAACACCTCATTAATTCATTTGAGACCGACTGCGGTGAGCACATTTTTTTTTAGACCGACTATTTTTTTGACATGGGGTGAAAAACATTTTTTTCAAACATGATAAGTCGACAAGGTTATTTTATACTAAAGTTTTGCGTGAGTAGAGTGACGTGTGCAGTGAGCACTTACTTTGATACCGACTGCCCATATCTTACGACCGACTGCACTGATTTTGCGACCGACTAGTATTTGGGATCTATTCTGGCATTATTTGTTTACCTCATTAATTCATTAAGACGGCGATGCATAATTTTGAGACCGACTGCAGTGACTGCACTTATTTTGAGACCGACTATTTTTCTCCCTGGGGGAAATTTTGTTCTTAAGACCTACATACTCACAACAGAATAAGAATGAAACACATCATTTTTTCAAACATGATAAGTTGACAAGGTTATTTTATACTAACGTTTTGCGTGAGTAGCGTGACGTGTGCAGTGAGCACTTATTTTGATACCGACTGCTCTTATTTTGCGACCGACTGCACTGATTTTGCGACCGACTATTTTTTTTCCTGGGGGTGTACCACACCCCCACACCCCCCACATTTACGCCCCTGAGTGTATTATGTGTGCTAATGTCTGGGTAATGGCATTAAATATTGGCCAGGACCGGGCGAATTGTTACAAAATTCACAATAGCACATCTACACGATTTAACATTTTAATGTTAAATCGTGTAGATGTGCCATAGTGAATTTTATTAAAATAACTATTCCTATACAATCGTTTTCTATTGTTCGACAGATTATTATAGCAGTATTCCGGGCCGATTTGTCTGCCCGTCTTCATTTATCCAGGTTGGGCAGAAAAGTGAACCCCATTGAATTTCGATTTGTGTGAAGATAGGTTGTCAAGCAACGAAACATACGCCCACAGCAGCTAAATGTCAGGGCAGTCAACAAGAGTTGTTGCATATTTTTACTTTCGTCGGTAATGGAGGATTTATAACACACTAAAATCTGATTAAGAGTAACAACTCATTAAGTAATTATCAGAAAATCATAGGAATTTGTTAGGCCCATGTAACGTTTAGTATACAAAACATTTAATATCAAGACCTCAAACTCGGTGTATCAATCTAAAGTCAATCGAAATATAAATATAAAATCAATCAGATGATAACTATATGTATGGTCTATAAAGCATCCACAAGATTATTCAAAGTGAAAAAGGTCCATAACTCTGGCAGTAATTATCGGAAATCGTTGAAAACAATAGTATTCTTCGTCGGATGACCTTAAACACTGTGTTTAAAGTCAACCGGATATTAACTTCAGCCTCTAGAGCGTCCACAAGATTTTTCAAATCAAGAGCAATAACTCTGGCAGTAATTATCGGAAATTGTTGAAAATCAATAGGCATCTTCGTTTAATGACCTTAAACCAGCGTCCACAAGATTTTTCGAAGTGATGAAGGGTCATAACTCTGGCAGTAATTATCGGAAATCGGTGCAAATAAATAGTCTTCTTCGTCTCATGACGCTTAACACTGTGTATAAATTTAAAGTCAATCGAATATTAAATTTAGTCTCTAGAGCGTCCACAAGCAATTGTGGGCGCCGGACCGACGGACGGAGGCGACGACAATATACGATTAAATTTCAATGTAGGCGTATAATAAAGGATCACTTATGACTTTGTTAGGCCCATGTAACGTTTAGTATACAAAACATTTAATATCAAGACCTCAAACTCGGTGTATCAATCTAAAGTCAATCGAAATATAAATATAAAATCAATCAGATGATAACTATATGTATGGTCTATAAAGCATCCACAAGATTATTCAAAGTGAAAAAGGTCCATAACTCTGGCAGTAATTATCGGAAATCGTTGAAAACAATAGTATTCTTCGTCGGATGACCTTAAACACTGTGTTTAAAGTCAACCGGATATTAACTTCAGCCTCTAGAGCGTCCACAAGATTTTTCAAATCAAGAGCAATAACTCTGGCAGTAATTATCGGAAATTGTTGAAAATCAATAGGCGTCTTCGTTTAATGACCTTAAACCAGCGTCCACAAGATTTTTCGAAGTGATGAAGGGTCATAACTCTGGCAGTAATTATCGGAAATCGGTGCAAATAAATAGTCTTCTTCGTCTCATGACGCTTAACACTGTGTATAAATTTAAAGTCAATCGAATATTAAATTTAGTCTCTAGAGCGTCCACAAGCAATTGTGGGCGCCGGACCGACGGACGGAG